GCCCGTCACCTCGCTGGCCGCCTTGGGCCGACGGGTGCTCAAAACGGCGAGGGCCCGCTCATGTTCGAAAAACGTGTAAGGCACATCGTTCATTCTTGTCTCTTCGAGCCTACTGAGGCGGGGAAGGGCAATCCCTCTTGGGTCGTCTCGCGCGGCGACTCTTGGGGCGTTTCGGGGCAGCCTCGGAGCCGTGTTGGGGCCATCTTGAGCGGTCTTGGATGCGCGCAGGGTGGCCTTTGCTGCCGCTGGGGGGTTGCCTGCTCTGGTTTGGCAGCCATCTATAGGCGCTTTGTTTTGGGAGCGCCAGGGGCGAGCGGGGCCCCCAGGTGCCATGTGTAGGAGGGGGCGGCGCGCGCAGGCACGCGTTTCGGCGGGGGTTAGGGGCGTTGAACACCATGGGTGTCTAGCGGGGCGCCCGAGGAACACCCGCAACCCTACCCGCCCCTCCCTAAGGCCACCATGAGGCCGTCATCGGGCCTCAGGGGCGCCCCAACCCGATGCGAGCTGGCATTCAGCGATGCCCCGCCGTGCCCACGGGCGCGGCGGCACATATACGCGTAGGAGGCGGGGGGTCGGAGTCGGGAGGGAGGAGTGCGCGGAGGTGGGGGAGGGAGACCTGCGCATGAGCAACGTCCGTCTCGGTCGGCCCCCCCCGCGCGCGCGCGCGCCTGTCGATCGGGCGCGCAAGCTCGGCGACTGCGTCGGCCTCGGCGCGGCGGCGCGACGCCGCCACCTTTCAAAGCGCGAGGGCGCTGCCCTCTCGAGTTCCCCCTGCGTCGGGGAGAGGGCGGGGGGGGTGCACGCAGTTTAGCTGGTGCAACACATGATGGGCGGGGCGCGGGCAATCCGTCATTTGCCTCATTTTCAGATGGGCTCACCGACGCATTTATCAGCGCCCCCCGCCGCAACAAAACCAAACATATGATGACGAGGCGGGAGCTCACCAGTTCGCCGCGTGCAGCGCGCGCTGCCCAGGGATACTCTTTTTCGGGGGGTTCGCGGCGTTGGCGGGGGCCGCGCCCTGCAAATAAAAAATGAGCTTATTTTGCACCTCCCCCCACCCGCCACCCCCTCTTCTTTCTCGGGTTTGGCCTTCTCCTTGCCCCACCCGCCTCCCCAACCTCCTTCTCCTTGCCCTGCCCGCCTCCCATTCCCCCTGTATCGCTGGCTCCGTGGCCAGCGGCTGCGCTTGCATATGGCAGCTCGTTGTTGGATGATTCAGCATTCCATTCTTGGAACGCGTTCTGGAATTCCGCTGGGATTTTTTTTTGCTGGGCGGACACTTGTTCGAACACCTAGGGGGCGTCGGGAACCATTGCCGACACTTTGCGACCATCATCGTATCCTTTCTTGTACGTTTCGCAAGCAGTTTTAGGACATATCACACACATCGATAATAACACTTGTTGGACACTGTTCTTATATGTTTTATGGGTTTACTAACATGACAATCTGTAGAGGGCTCAGCGAGTTACGGCCCGAGGCGCGAACGCAAACTGCGGCGCCTGCTCAATCCTGCAGGCGAGGGGCTGCCCGAAAATAAGACACCCAATGGGCTTCCCCTGAGCCGCGCGCCGATGGGGGGCTGCTGCGTGGACGACCGCTGCCGGCCGCAGCTGCTCGCGGTCTGCCGCGCCCACTGCCGTCAGCATTGCTCTGGCCCTCTGCTCGATTACGCCGATGCCCCTCTCGGCACGCGGTTTGTTATCTCGCGCCCTGGGGTCGATGTGGATGCGACCCCCTGGGAGGCAAGCGCTGCGCTCATCTTCGGGCCCGAGAGCTCCCGCGCCTGGTCAGCGTGGGCACGGTGAACCACGCGCGCCTGGAACTCGAACTCCACCTGCGCGATCATCAGGCGCAGGGCGGCCAGCGCATCCACCGCGCGCTTGCCGGCGAGGGGGGTGACGTAGCACCGCGTCTGCGCGCCCCCCTCCTCGACGAGTCCGTCCGCCGGCGCCGCCGCCGCCGCCGGCAGCGCTGAAGCCCGCGTGACCATTGCCAAGGCGTCGTCTGCAGCCAGCGGCTGCGCAGCCGCCGCAGCGGCTGCCCGCTCCAACTGCTCCCCGGGTCTCTCGCCTGCCGCCGCGGCTGCGGGCGGCGGCGACCCCGCGGCGCCGCGAGCGCGGTGCTCCGCCACAGAGGCGGCGGCGCGCTCAAAAGCAGTCATATCCGCGTAGGCGTCGAGGACGAAGTACCGCGCCCTCTTGGGGCGGTCTTCCCACAGTGCCCCTGGCCAGAGCCCTGCAGGGCGGGGGCCAGATATGTCCGCGGACAGCTGGCCTCCCGGCCGCGTCCGCGCATCCAGCCACCAGCGCGCCCTTGTGCGCCCTGCCGCCAGGCGGCATTCGTGGCAGTCGGGGCGGAAGGACGGATGTCCACGCCACTTGTGCTCCTCCAAGCTGAGGCGCTGCACGGCGGCCACGACGACGTCGAAGTGCGCCGCCAACATCCCAGCGCCGGCTCGCGCGCGCAGCTGCTGCCACATCGCGCGGAGGCGCTGGGCGTCGTCCTCGTAGATGCACGCCGCGGTGCCCTCGACTTCCAGCTCGATCGCGCCCTGGCCCGGCAGCATCACGCGGGCTCGATCCCGACCCCGCTGAAGATCGAGGCCGAATTCGGCGACGTAGGCGCCGATCGGGAACAGGGCCTGCAACTCCGTTGGGGAATGGACATGCACCACCTCGTCCGCCCCCATGAGCACGCCGGCCGGCTGGCCGGTCGCGCGGGCGAGGTCGATGCGCTGGCACGGCGCGGGCGGGCGCTGGTTTGGCCATAGGTGCTGCAGCTCATGCGCGGCACCGGTGTCGGCCAGCAGTTGGCGGCGGCCTGAGCCTCCATGGAGCGCGCGCGCCGCGCGCGGATCAACGCGAAGCGTTCGAAGGGCGGGCTGCTGCTGGGGAGGGGATGCTGCGGCGTTGGGCGGGGTGCCGTTCGGCCCCGAGGCCCCCACTGGCTGGCCCCAGCCATCCTGCCAGGGAGGGCCAGCAGCAGCGGCAGCGGCTGAAATCGGGTAGAGGCTCGCAGCCACAGCGCCCCTGACCACCTGCTGCATCGCCTCGGCGGTCAGCGCAGTCGCGGGCGCAACTGCGATTGCCGACGCGGCTGACGCACCTCCTGCGGCAGCGGCTGCAGGAGGCTTCGGCCGTTGGCACGCTGTCTTGTCGTGGTCCTCGGCCCCGCAGTTGAAGCACTTACCCTCGCTCCCCTCGAGCTTCCTGTGGTGGCGAGTGCATGTCGCGCCGAACTTGCAGCCGGCCTTGCTGTCGAAGAGCCGGCACGCTTCCTTACCTCCTGTCGCCGCCGTGGCAGCAAGTTTCGCCTTTGCCTTCACCTTCGCCTTGGCGCGGGCGTCCGGCTGGCCGCCCCTGGCGTCGGGCTTGCCCTGCTTGCCCCTGCCCTTGGCGCCCTTCGCCTCCCACGCGGCCGCCAATGCTTTCACGCCCTTCCCCTGGGGCGCGTCGCAGAGCTCGCGAGCCTCGGCGGCGAAGCACCGCCAGAACTCGCCCACCTGCTGCCGCGAACAGCGGCTGGCGCCCGAAATGCCGCGCTGCATCTCCCACGCGAACACCCTGCACTGGAAGTTCGCGTCGGCTTCGGCCATGCCCTTCACGGTGCCCCGCACCGTCGCCAGCTGCGTGACAGGGCCTGGAGCGGTTATTCCAAGACGCTGCAAACCGAGCGAGCGAGAACTTCCACGAATTCAGCTCTTTGTAGCAAAGCGCCAGGACAGCGGCCTCGTTGCCACGCCGCTCCACCGCCTTCAACGCCAGCTTCCGGTCGCGAAGGGTGCCGGGCCCGGCCCCCACCATGATGCTGAAGAGGAGCTCGGTCACCGAAAACTGTCGGGTGGCCAGCGCGACGCTCTGCACCTGATCGGGGGCCGCGTCCAACAGCAGCGGGCGCAACCGCAGCTCAGTGCTAAGGCTCTGGCGATCGGCTCCGAACCGCTCGGCGTTCGGCGTCGCGAGCGGGCGCTCGAGTGAGCCGCGGCCGAGGTAGCGCCCATGCGCCTCCCTCGCCGCTCGGACCGCTGCCAGAACAAGTCGATGAAGGAATGCCACGCCCCGATCCTCATGGCAGCTCGCTGCACCCACTCCTCGAAGGCGTGCGCCTTGTTCACGCCGGCGGCGAACGCCAGCTTCGGCACGTCGCCGTCCTTCAGCTTCGCCAGCATGCCCGCATGACTTTTTGGCAGCCAAGCGGGCCCCAAGACAGGCCAAGAGACCCCCAAAAGGCCGCCCAGACGGTCCAAGGGTGCCCCGAATCACTACACTATCGGTCCAAGACGCTCAAGGTGGCTCGAAAATGGCCCAGAAGCCTTTCCCATGAAAGCCCCAGAGCCTTCCCAAGAGGGCCCAGAGTGGCAAAAATCACTCATTCCGCTTAGGTTGTTCAATGTTTTTGGCGTTCTCGACGTTTCGAGCCTTCGACGCTCCAAGACGGCCCAAGAGGCCCCCAAGGCCGGCCCAAGAGGCCCCCAAGAGGACCCCGAGACGGCCCAAGAGGGCCCTAAGACCGCCCAAAACGGGCCAAGAGAGCCCCAAGACGGAGAGTCCGAACCCACAACTTGAGCATTCCATCCCAAGATGCCCCCAAGAGGCCCCAAGAAGCTCCCAAGAGGCCCCGAGAGGCACCCAGAAGGCCTCCAAAACGCTCCAAGAGGCCCCAAAAGGGAACCAACAAGTTTGAAAAAAACACCACGAAGCCCCGGAGAGGCCTCCCGCGACATCCCAACGAACATCCTAGAGGCCTATGACACACAACCCAGGCACGTTGACGGGATGTGCCGAAGGCCGTGAGATGATGTCAGACCAACTTCGTATTAACAATGATGTGTTCGCTTGCTTCCTGCGCCTGGCCTTTATCTTCTATGGTCAGCTGGCTTTCAGAAAAGTCATTAACTGAACAGCGGAACAGCAGAGGTGGGCATGCAGACCCCAGGGAGACGACTAATAACAATAGATAACAGTCGAGGAAGAAACAAGCAGTGCAAAGAATGCCTGCTGTGCACGTGTCCGCGAAGTACGCTCGGGCGCCCATCTGAGGCAAGCGCGGGAGAAAGACCCATGGTGAGCGAGCAAAGACATATGTACATGTGCGCACTCGGCGGTCCCGAGTGCACGAAAGACCACGTCCAAACGCAAGCCTAGGAAGCTGACCGTGTACGTGTACGTCTTTGTTAGCCTCTGACCGGGCAGAGGAGCATCACCTCATGCTGGCACCAATGTCCTGGAGATGCGCCTGCCGATGTGAAAATCAACGCTGACGCTGCTACTAGGACTGCACATGCGAGCGGCTACGCCATGCTGGCGATCTCCTTCATGATCACAGCGTCAGCTTACCAAAGGTAGCAAATGGCCCCGCTCCTGAGGAACCAACGCATTCTTCTCAACCGCGACCTCCGCGTACCCGTCCTGCAGTCAACCACGCAAATCATTCCGAATATGCATGGGGAGGAGGAGGAGGAAGAGAAGGAAACCCACGGACGAATCACAGAAGCATTGGGAACACCACAGGAGGTGAGGGCAACGGTTTGCTTGACAGGCCGGTTTGTCAAGCGCTCTATGAACACTCTCCCGAACAGGACAATACTCTTCTTATGATGCTGAAGCGTGCCTGATTCCACTAGAGAAGGAATATGAACGCACTCCTGCAATGCAAAAGATTATGCAGGTTGGCAACGACTGCATGTTTGCCAAGCCTGGAATCCAGCAAACCACGCCCAATACGCGAGCCATCTGGGCGAAAATGCTTTAGCGGGCCAGCTCTTCCAAAGCAAGTCGTTCTTGACTTTCACGGTGGAATGTATCCCTCCCCCGACCCAACGCCTACCCGGGGGACTGGGGGGATCTGGACACGGGGGATGGGGGGCGCCGGTGGTTGCAGCATCCATGATGGACCAAGAAGTTTCCGGAATGGCCACAGATAGCAAAGGATAGCCTCCAAGATGGAACAAGATGACACAATTTGGCCCAGGATGGTCCCCAGCATGACTCCAGGGGGGCCCAAAGCGCCAAGATGGCTCCAGGTGGCCGCTGTGCCTCCCACTGGTGATTCGTGGAGGCCAAAGACATTGAAACACTTAAATCATTCAACGGCCATGGTCTTCTCGCCGTTTCGGTTTCCGCGGAGCGTCAGGCCCCGAAGACCAAAGGCTCCCAAGAGCACCCATACAGTTCCACGAGGGCCCCAACTGGCACGTTTAGGCTCCCACGGGGGGCGCGCTGATCACACCAGCCCTCTGGGCTAGGTGGTCTAAGGGTTCCTTCTTAGACGAATGGCAAAGTCAACAGCAGGCAGCTTCCTCATCGGAGACCGAACGCGCAACCTGTGGCACAACCAACAACAGACCGCGTTATGCTCGGCGGCTGGGCGTGCAACCTATGGCGCAACCAACAGCAGGCCGTGCAGTGCTCGACTTCCTGGCAGGCAACACATGGCGCAACAATTAGCAAGCAATTGTTCCCAACAATCCTGTGGTGCTGCGTCCTCGTCTTGAAGAGACAGCGCCCGGCGTCCTCCTCTCCTCCTCTCCACCCCCTCCCATCCCTGCATCATCTCTGTTTCGGCACACCGCTCACACGCTTCGTGGCCCCATAAGGAGCTCATCCGAAGGTATCAGCGGTGCAGTTCGCAAGTGGGCGTCGCGCGGGCCGTGGATGGGGAGCAGCGGGCGGGGCTACGCCGAGCCCGAGCCCCGGGTGCCCTTCCCAGGAGGGAGCCGAGACATGCGCTACGCCCGGTGCGAGCACTGCGGCCGTGACGGCGCTGGCCAACCCCGAACATGCTCGCGTCGTGACACAGATCTCTGCGAGCCACCACCCGTTTATGGAGCCCGCCGAAACGCAGGGCGAAGAGCGAGACGCGAGATGCGGGGCGCGCAGCCGCACCTTCCCCATTTCGGCTGCCAGGGACCAGGCTGCAGCCTCAGCGAAAGCGGCAACCTCCTCAGGAGCGGCATCCTCGTCTGGGCCGGGCCCGGCGCCTCTCCCGCCTGCCGAGGCGGTGCCCAGCAGCCACGTATGCGGTGACCCCGCCCCCGCGGAGGTGATCATGCTCCCAGGTCTGCCGAAGGCGCCCCCCTTCGCCCTCGCCAGGCTCTTCGGTGCTACCGCGAGCATCAGCGAGGGAAGGCGTGGCCTCTCGAACGTGGCTTACTTTGACATGGGGTCGGACGGCGAGGATCGGGACTTCGTCGACCCCCAGTCGCCGGGGCAGCCCCGCCACGAGGAGGAGGAGCGCGAGACCCTGGCGCAGCGCAGGAAGGTCAACCCTGAGGAGGCGGGCTGCTGCCACCATCAGGGATGCAGACGGCTTCTGCCAGACCTGGGCTTCCGGGTCTTCTACTGCTGCCGGACATGCCGGTATACGCACGGGCGGAATCACGGCCCGGTGCGCGATTCGAGGGGGGGCGCGCGCACTGCAGGGTTCGCCCGTGCGCGGATCGACGAGGAGCAAGGTGCCCGGGCAGGCCCAGCGGAGCCCCGTTCCGAGGAAGGAGAACCTGGGAGACGGGCGGGCGCCGTCGAGGACGACGAGAGCTGGGGCAGGTGGAAGGCGGAAGGCAAGTCGGCCCCCGCGCCCCGAGCAGCCCTGGCGCCTGGGCCCGCAGCGGCGGCGCCCACCGCTGCGGGGGCATCGTCGGGCGCGCGCGCAGGAGAAAGAGGGCTCGCGCCAGGCCTCCGCCCGGGTTGCCCCTACGCCGCGCATAGCGATCCGAAGCAGCTCTGGAAGCCCGGCTACTGCCGCGACAAGTGCGGAGGCAGGAACCCGGGTGAGGGCTGGGCAGATGGGGGGATAAACCACTACAAGTACTGCGAGAAGGCCCCCCATGGCCAGGACACGGGTGACCAGCCCCCCGGGGGGAGCGGAGGCAGACGGGGCAAGAAGAAGAAGCAGCAGGGCGGCGCGGCGCCGCAGAAGGCGCCCCTGTCCGGCCCTCCGTCTGGCAGCGTCGGCTGGAGCGGGGCCGCCTTCCAGCAGGGCGCGGCGGACCACGGGGGCTCGTCGGGCAGCGGGAGGCCTTCGACCGACTGCCCGCCGGCGTCCCCCACCGAGAAGAGAAGGAGGAAGCGTGCCGAAGCGGACCTGGCGAAAGCAGAGGCAGGGGCAGCCGGGAGGGCAGCCCACAAGAATCAGGGGCGCGCGGCATCGGGAGGCCGCATGTTCGCCAGCGGGCGAGGACGCTGCCGCAGGAGGTCAAGGAAGAGCCGCAGTCGGAGGGCGAAGGCATCAAGCGCCTGGGCCGAGCCGCGCTGGGCCGCGAGCACAAGGACCTGGCGGAGCGGGTCGCCAGGCGAGGCGAAGGCGGCGCAGCCGCAGCCGCGGCGCCGCGCGGACCCAGGCGCGGGACCGGCGCGCGGGGGGAGGAGCCGCGGAGGTCGAGGTTCATGGAGAAGGGCATACGCAGCGCAGCTAGGAAGGAGGCTACCTCCGCCCCGCCACAGCCCGCCCGGGGGCGGGGAGCCGCCCCCGCGGAGAGGGAACCCCTTCCCATGCCGGGGCCCAGGAGGGCCGTCGAGCTCCGCAGCCAGCCGCGAGGAGAGCTCGCCACATTCGAGGACGGAGGAGGTGGCAGAGGACCGACGCCACGTTCCCACGTTCGAATGACTCCAGGCCAGGAGACGGCGCCAAGGCAGCGCAGCTCCAGGCGGACAATGAAGCCCGCATGGCGGCGCTGAGAGCGCAGGCCATCAGGATCAAGCGCGACGAGGGCGCGGAGGCCGAGGAAGCCCGTGGGAAGGAAGCGCGGCGCAGGGTGGCGGAGCATCTCGAGGAGCTGCACCGGCCCGGAGGCCGTCGCCTTCGGGAGAGGCGCCAGAGTGAGCCAGACTTGGGCGGCATCGACCCTGAGCCGGCCCGCTACCTCCAGGATGCCCGAGGCACGGGCGGCGCCGGCCAGAGTCTGGAGGGACTCAGGCTTCACCTAGAGCCTTCGCACGAGGAGTCGAGCGAGGACAGGGTTCCGACTGCAGCGGGAGACGCGCCAGGCGCGAGGAGGACAGCCGCAGGAGCGGATGCCTATAGAGCAGGATGAGGCCAGGAAGCAGCTGGACGCGATGGTCCGGACGTGGGGGTACCCCGACCAGAAGGGCGGATGGCTCGACTGGGCTTTGGCAGCGCAGTGCTCTGGAGAGGCCGAGGGCTGGAAGGCAGGCGCCAACACCCAGAGGAAGAAGATGCGCAAGGGCAAGAGCGTGGACCCAGTCGAGAACAGGCCACCCAACTTGCTGGGGCCCGAGGCGGTCAGGGAGAACGCCAGGCCGGACGATCTGACGCTGACGGACCTCAGGACGCGTCAGGACTGGGAGAAAGCCAAGTTGGAGCTCATCCTGGACAAACTGGCTAGCTCCACCATCAAGTCCTAAAGCCTAGGCTGGAGGTGGTGGTCCCTGTTCTGTCGGGCGAGGGGCATCAGCCCCCTCAGGGAGGTCACGCCCACGAGCCGAAGGGACGAGGAGGAGCTGATGCTGCAGTTCGTCGCGCACCTGTCGAGGCGAGGGTGCAAGAGAGCGGGCACCATCAAGCAGTACCTGAGTGCCGTCTGGGCCCAGCACCTTGCCCTCGGCCTGGGCGATCTCACAGCGGGCGCGGGCAGGCTCTGGATGGCGATCGACGTGCTGAGGAGGCGCGCCGGCGACACCAAGCGGAAGAAGCCGGTCACGCCCAGGATGATGAGGTGGATCCGGAAGAAGCTGCAGCCGGAGAGGTCACGCGAGGGCGCAGCCCTATGGGCTGCGGTCGCCACGGGCTACTTCTTCCTGCTGAGGGCCAGCGAGTACGTGTCAGGCGACCAGAATGGCTACACCAGTGGCAAGGGCCTAAAGGGCGTGGACGTCACGCCGAAGGCAGCGGGCGAACCGACGAGGAGCTGGCCTGAGGCAAGTGAAGTCGTCATCAGGATACGGGCCAGCAAGACAGACCAGTACAATCGAGGGGAATGGCACAACCACTTCAGGGTCGAAGCAGCACCAGGCACGGCGGACGACGAGCACATCTGCGTGGTGGAAGCGTTGACAATCTATGAGGGTTGGGAGCGCGAGAGGTTCTCCGGAGCGCGGTCGTAGGACCCGCTCTTCGGGGGTCGACCCGAACGACCTGGGCTCCCACAGCTTGAGGATCGGGGAGGCGGCAGCGCTCTACGCGGCGTTCAAGGACACAGCGCTGGTGCAGCGCTGGGGGCGCTGGAACAGCGACGCCTTCCAAGGTTACTTGTGGGAGGCGAGGGACATGGCGCAGGGCGTAGCTAGCAGCATGGCAGCCGCGGACCAGACCATGGTATGAGGAGCGCGTGACGCGGCCGCGTTGGCATGATGCTCAGGCGCAGGGCAGCCGAGACCGAGAGGTCCGAGGCTGAAGCGCAGGGGAGCCTCGACGGCTGGCAGTGCGGCAGTCAAGTGTGCAAGAGTGCTGGGCAGTGGGGGCCAGGACCCCCCTCCAGTTCGGCCTGGGGCCCTCGAGGCGGGTCCCGTGGCTCGAGACGCGCACGGCGCCACAGGCCGCTCGAGATGATGGCCTCCTCCTCCTCCACCTCCATCGTCGTCAGCGTCAGCATCTGAGGAGTGTGAGGAGGCGTGAGGAGGAGGAGGAGGAGGAGGAGGAGGAGGAGGAGGACGAGGACGAGGAGGAGGCGGCCTGAGGGACGGGGGCAAACGGGGCCCTGTCGCGCCCGATCCGCCTGTGTCATGGAGGCGTGAGCAGAGAGGAAACGTAGACGTTCGCGAGAACTGGGTTTCCTCGCAGCTCGTGCCTCCCTCTCCTTGCCTGTGGCTCAGGGCTGCTTGCGGCATCTGTACTATCTTTTTTGGAGGTCCCGCCCACCCACACCATAATAAAGCAATGGGTGGGGCCTCCTGCCGAATTTGCTCGGCCTGCGCTTGCCGCTTCGCGGTAGGCGCACGCACCGGCCCCACCTCACCGTGAGGGGGTCTCTTCCCCCCCCCTGGCGCTACAGTGTTCCAGGCGGGGGGGGTTCAGCGGCGAGACACGCCGCGGAGCTCGCGCCCTCCCGTTGGGTGGCGCCACAGGCCGCTCGAGATGATGGCCTCCTGCTCCTCCTCCACCTCCATCGTCGTCAGCGTCAGCATTGGAGGAGTGTGAGGAGGTGTGAGGAGGAGGAGGCGGCCTGAGGGACGGGGGCCAAGGGGACCCTGTCGCGCCCGATCCGCCTGTGTCATGGAGGCGTGAGCAGAGAGGAATCCTCCTCCTCCTCCTCCTCCTCCTCCTCCTTCTCCTTCTCCTTCTCCTCCTCCTCCTCCTCCTCCTCCTCCTCCTTCTCCTCCTCCTCCTGTTCCTCCTCGTCTTCCTGCAACTTTTCCTCATTCTCCTCCTCCGCCGCCTCCTTCTCATCCTCCTCCCTCCTCCTCCTCCTCCGCATCCTCCTCCTCGTCCTCCGCCTCAACCTCCGCCTCCTCCTACTCATCCTCCTCCGCCTCCGCTTCCGCCTCCGCCTCCGCCTCCGCCTCCGCCTCCGCTCCGCCTCCGCTCCGCCTCCGCCTCCTCCTCCTCCTCCTCCTCCTCCTCCTCCTCCTCCTCCTCCTCCTCCTCCTCCTCCTCCCCCTACTCTTCCATTTCCCTCCTCTCCCCCATCGCCGCCTCCTGATACTCAGAGCAACTTAAGCAGCAGGAGATTGCACATACTTCCCCCGTCATCCGGCGTCGTGGAAAAAGATAGCATCACGAGAGAAATTGGCCATACCTCTCGACTAAATCTCGGGTTGGGGCGCTATATATCGTGAGGACCACGGAGCCCGAAACCGAGCAGACACACTTATCGCGGTTTGTCCACGAGGCTGGAATCTGATCTGTCGGAAGGCTCACGTCGCCCCCAGCGTGCCCGAGAGCGGGAGACTGAAAGGACTGAAGGGAGGGGAGGGAGAGGAGGGAGCATCAGCCCCACAAGACTGGGTCTGCCATCTTCGCGCGTTGCGCTGCAGTAAAGCTGCGGTGGAAGGATGACGAGGGGCGAGGGGAACACGCAGGAGGTGGGAGCAGGAGCCCCCAAGGACTGTCTCCATTCCACCCCCTCGCCTCCCTTGCCTCCATTCCACCCCAAGGACTCCCTCCCTTGCCCTGTTCCCCTCTCCCCCTGCCTCACTCACCTGCCTCTTTCTGCCGCCCCCTTCTGCCATTCCGCCAGCCTAGAGGTTAGAGGGATGGTGGGAGGGAAATCCCAAGGGAGAGGGAGAGGGAGAGGGGGAGAGAGAGAGAGAGGCGACGAGAAAAGTAGGGAGATCGACCAGCAGAGGGTCAGGAAGAGGCGCTCCGATGCTGTGGCGCGCCAACCATACCTTACAAATGTGGCAGTCGGGCACCTCACAGCCATTCGGAAACAAGCGGGAGCGTAACCCCGTGTCGAGCAGACCGAAAGCAGCACAGCAAGCTGCCTGAGTTGAGGCGCGCGTGTGCAACGGTGGCTGCCAGCAGCCCGGCGGCATCTGATGACTTGCAGAGCGCTCAGGGTGTGAAACGCACGGGTTCATACAAGAGGGCGAGGCCTTGCTGAACGGTGCGCCGCAGCGTTGACAGGGCAGACCTGAGGGTACCGCCCATCAGGTCCCCGAACAAGGGTGGCATGCCAGGGAAGCGGGTGGTCATCCGACTACATCGGCCCAGTGAAAGTTCCTTGATTGTTCGTCACATCGCTCGCCCGCGGAAGCCGACGGAAGTAAAGCGAGGCGGAAGACGGCGGAAGGCCGTCGAAAGGCTTGCGGAAATCAGCGGGAGCGAATGACGCCCCGTCCGAGCCACCCTCCCCCCCATAGAAGCCTAGCAATGTAGTCTTCTGTCGAGGGCCGGGCGAGATCCCGCCTAACTTACTCGCCTCTATCATAAATTGAATTCAGCCCGGCTAAAATCCCACACAATAAAAATTCGGTAAACCAACATTCCGGGTCTTTCACGGATCCCGCCATGCTAGGACTGGCTCGAAGTAAGTTTGGGCCCCGAAGTAGTGGCATTCTTGGCGTGGCAGGGTCGTCTTGAGGTCATCTTGAAATCATATCTCGGTCATGCTTAAATCGCGCACCCGTCGCGCGTCCATTCTGGGGCCACCCTGGGCGCGCGTGGGTCCATCTTGTGGCAATCGAACCATCTCGGGGTCACTCTTGGCTCCATGGTTTGGTCATCTTCGGGTCGGCCTGAGACGGTCCAGTATCCATGGCGAGATCGTGTTGGGGTGGCGTCACCCCAGGGTCGGAAGGACGTGATCGCCTTTGACTTCAGGCCCTCCTGGAACCATTTTGCGGCCATGGAAGCGTCTAGGGATCTCGCGCGCGCGAGCGGTCAGCACGCTCGCGCGACAACTCATCTCGCCGATGGGAGTGCACGCATATACTTCTTGTTGCGAGTTCTAAGGAAACTTTTGTTGGAGCCAAGTAGGCGCCTGGCCCGAGACGCAAGGAAGCGCAAAATGCGCAGTGAAAGGACTAGCACAGTGCAACGGTGTGGAAAGTAACACTGTAAAGCCTTTCAGGGTTCCAAAACCGAGGTCGGTAAGGGGACAGAGGAGAAAACGAGAAGAAGAAGAAACAACCGAAAAAGAAGAAGAAAAAGAAGAAGAATAAGAAGGGAGAAGAAGACGGAAGACAATGCCTGCCTGGCCACTCCCCCACTGACTCGGGGAATGATCGGCAGTGCATGTCTTCCCGTCGAAGCAGCAGGCTGGTGCAGACAGCGGATTGTACACTATATTACTGACTCAGTCTCAGAGGGCTCACGCGACTGCGACAGCGACGCGGGCGACGGCAAAGCGGCGCCTCTCAGCACATCCATGTGAAGGCAGCTGATGGTGAGGTTCAAGATGAGGCGGATCAGTCGGATGACGCGGCTGATCTATGGTTTGAATAGCGGGATACGGTTGGGGGCAGGAATCGAAATAGCAGTGAACTGTTGGAGTGCCATGGCAGCCAGGTACGCGAAGCACGAAGTGGTGTTCCCACTCGGCGTCGGGTCAGCACGACTGGCCGAAGCCATACTCAGGGCATCAGGCGAGACAACCTGAGAGGATCTCGGTGCCCGTGGAATGCGCGGCCCTCTAGGAGGCGGGAGGGGCGGGCGCGTCCCTGGAGGAGCCAACCACACAGCAGGGGCGACGCACGAATGGCTTGGAAGAGGCCGCGGGCCGCCACGCACGCATTGAGCCGTCGCAGGTGGTGGCGTGCCCTCCAGGACAGGTTCAAGCCACAGCTGGGTTGCAAAAGAGAACGTGAATAGAATTGTTGAGGCTGATGTTGCACCTGGAGACCACGCAGTGCCAGGCGCACAGGAGGCCCCCGGTGCTCAATATGGGTAGGTGACGGCACACAGGGTCAGCGAGCAGCTCGGCTTGGTGGCCCATACCCGCGCGGGTGCTGAACTTGACGAAAAAGCCAGGCTCCTAGAGGCGGGCCTGGTGGAGGATGGCGTTAGATGGCCTCGAATGAGAGCTCGAGACTCGTGACCAACCGACGCTGCCAGGCGCGCCGCGGCCAACTGCACGCGCTGGCAGCGGAAAGCTGCAGAGGTTGGGGAGCGGTGGCCGCGCGGGGGGGGCTGTCGCAGGCGCGCCTGATCTCGGCCGTGCTGCCAGGAGGGCAATGCCTCGAGGGGCTGCGACGCGAATTGCTGCCTGGAGGACGCCCGCGTCTTTCCGAGCCGGCGCTAGAGCGACAGGGAGAGGAAGACAGGGGCAAGAGCAGTGGCAGGGTAGGGGGTACTAGTAGGTAGCATGGGCATGGAACGGTGCAGGGGCAGGGACAGGGGACAGTGGGAATGGAAAGGAGAGGGAATAGGAAAGTGATAGCACATCTGAACAAAGACAGACGACGCGGCAGAACCCAGGACGCGAAAGAGGGAGCGAGGTCATTCTTCCAGCCGGTTGGTATCAGGATCTGGTCGCCGCCATGGTGGCCCGTAATCTTGAACTTTCCTGGTGCCAGCGCACGAGAGGAGCCCCATGGCCAGTTGGCTCCCTGAGGCCAGGGGGTACAGGAAAATCTAATCCGCCGACCCTGTCGGCGTGTTTGAGGGGCTTGTCTGTTCGAGTCGTCGTCTCCGTCAGTCGTCGTCTCCGTCGTCCCATTTCGGTGCACCTTCATCCTCAAGCCTGTCAGCAAGAAAAAAATCTGGCAATGTCGTAATCGAGTCGAAAGAAAGCCCCTTCCTTGTGATCCCTCCCCCGTCGGGGGTGGGCTGGGGGGGTCCGGGGGAGTCTCAGGGGGGGTGGTCAGATACGCGTTCCCCCCTGAGGGTCCCAAGACCCCAAGAGGACCCTGAGGGGCCCCCGAGAGGCCCCCGAGAGGTCCAAGAGTGCCCTCGAGACGGTCGAAGAGGGCCCCCAATCGCCAAACAATCGGTTCAAAACGCCGTCACGCCCTACAAACTGCCCAGGAGGCCTCCAAGATGCCTCAAGAAGCCTCCAAGAGCATTCCCAGGAGTTGGTTTAGAAAGGATTTGGGCGTTCTCGCCTTTTCCACTTCCCACCGCTCCAAGACGGCCCAAGAGGTCCCCAAGATCGCCCCAAGACGGCACAAGAAAGAGGCCTCCAAGAGGGCCCCAAAACAACCCAACAGGATCCCAAAACAGCCCAGAACGCCTCCAAAACGGCACATGAGCCCCCAAGACAGCTCCAAGAGCGTGCCCAGACGGTGGACCCGAACGGACATGTCGAGCTCTCGACCCGAGGCTCCCAGGAGGCCTCAAGAGGTTCCACAGAGAGGCCCACAAGAGGTCCCCAGGAAGCCCGAAGAGACTCCCAAGAGGCCCCAAAATTCCTCCCCCGAGGCCCCCGAGAGCCTTCCGAAGAGACCCCAAGAAGCATTCCTGAGGTCTCTAGCCCACGTCAGCGCCGTCGTCGTCGCCACCGCCGTTGTCGTCGTCGTCGTCCCCCCTCTTGGTCGGCGGCACTGGCCGTAAGGCCTTCGCAATAGGCCATGCAAAAGCAGCAAGAATAAACATAACCAGCTGGGCAATGTTACATGCTGATTGTTCCCAACAGTCCTGTGGTGTTGGGTCCTCGTTTTGAAGAGACGTCGTTCCGCGTTCCTCTCCTCCTCTCCTCTTCCTCCTCCTTTTCCTCCTCCTCCTCCCCCTTTCATCTCTCCGCCCGTCATCATCATCGTCATCATCATCATCACCATCAGCGTCATCAGCATCGTCATCATCATCATCATCACGACCGTCATCATCGCCCATGTCGGCACACCCCTCACACGTTTCGTGGCTTCACAAGGAACTCCACCGAAGGCCCCACTGCCACCGCCCGCACGCGTCTCCCCCCACACCCATTTCGGCACATCCCATCACAAACTTCGTGGCCCAATAGGGAGCCCCACCGAAGGCCCCAGCGCCACCGCCCGCATGCGTCCCCCACACACACATTTCGGCACACCCCTCACAAACTTCATGGCCCCATAGGGGGTCCCACCGAAGGCCCCACTGCAACCGCCCGCATGCGTCCCCCACACCCAATTCGGTACACCCCTCACACGTTTCGTGGCCCGATAAGGAGCTCCACCGAAGGCCCCAATGCCACCGCCCGCATGCGTCCCCCACACTCATGTCGGCACACTTTTCACACGCTTCGTGGCCCCATGGGGAGTTCCACCGAAGGCCCTAGTGCCACCACCCCCATGCGCCCCCCACACCCAGTTCGGCGCACCCCTCACACGCTTCGTGGCCTCATAGGGAGTCCCACCGAAGGCCCCAGTGCCACCGCCCGCATGCGTCCCCAACACCCATGTCGGCACACCCCTCACACGCTTCGTGGCCCCATAGGGAGCTCCACCGAAGGCCCCAGTGCCACCGCCCGCATGCGTCCCCCCCCCCCGCACAATTCGGCACACCCCTCACACGTTTCGTGGCCCCATATGGAGTTCCACCGAAGGCCCCAGTGCCACCGCCCGCATGCGTCCCCCACGCCCATTTCGGCACACCCCATCACACGTTTCGTGGCCTCACAAGGAACTCCAACGAAGGCCCCAGTGCCACCGCCCGCATGGGTCCTCCACACTCATGTCGGCACACCACTTATACGCTTCGTGGCTCCATAGGGAGTCCCACCGAAGGCCCTAGTGCCACCGCCCGAATGCGTGCCCCACACCCATTTCGGCACACCCCTCACACGTTTCGTAGCGTTACAGGGAGCTCCACCGAAGGCCCCAGTGCCACCGCCCGCATGCGTCCCCCACACCCATTTCGGCACACCCCTCACACGCTTCGCGGCCCCATACGGAGCTCCACCGAAGGCCCCAATGCCACCGCCCGCATGCGTCCCCCACGCCCATTTCGGCACACCCCTCACACGTTTCGTGGCCCCATAGGGAGCTCCACCGAAGGCCCTACCACCACCGCCCGCATGCGTCCCCCACACCAATTTCGGCACACCCCTCACACGTTTCGTGGCCCCATATGGAGCTCCACCGAAGGCGCCAATGCCACCGCCACCATGCGTCCGCCACACCCAAGGTTCCAGGGAACAGCTCCAGACCTTTGGGGAGAAGGAGGAGGCGGAAGAGAAGGACCCGCACCGCGGACGACCCGCGCCGCGTCGCTGGGACCCTCCCGGGGCGACCAGCGCGCATCGCGGGAACTCCGTGCTGCGTTATTCCCTGCGCCTCGCTCGCCCGTCGTCGCTCTGCCCAGCGGTCAGAGCCTTGCCCGGTATCAGCCAGCGAGCTAGCTAGCTAGCTAGCTAGCTAGCTAGCTAGCTAGCTCCCTTTGCTCCGCGCAGCGGACGACCCGCGCGCGTCGCTGGGACCCTTCCGGGGCGATCGGCGCGCGTCGCGGGGACTCCGCGCCGCGCTGCGCCCGCAGCTTTGGACTTTGGAATGCGCGGGCAAAGAGGGAGGAAAAAAGGAAAGAAACGTGCGCGATCCTCGTGAGGGGCGTGCCGACATGGGCGTCGCGGCGTGAGGGCGCTGCCGCCGGGGTTCCCGCGGAAGTTTTCTGCGACGGCCACGCTTGGTGTCACGAGTGCACAGGCAGGCATATCCGAACCATTCACATTCATATACATTTAGACGAGGCGTAGCCATGATCGCATTCGTGCAAATATATTCGCTCGCACGCAGACTCATTCACACTTAGACTCACTCGCGCTCAGATTCACCCGCGCTCAGTCTCTCGTAATTAGACCAATCGTTTCCCTTCGTGTTGTGTACCCCGCCACATTTCGGCACGCCCCTCATACGGTTCGTGGGCATCACCGAAGAAGATACTCACAACTGCGATACTCACAAATGCATATGGTTGGGTCCTTCGCCAGGATAATTTTCCGCCTTGGGGTTTATTTGGCTGTTCATTGCCTCCTGGCCCTCAGAGTAGCCAACCGACTTCAGGAATAGACTGCATCAACGCATGCAGGACACAAGAAATGAGAGGGGAGGGAATGAGCAGGATACACAAAGGAGGCAAGAAGGAGGAAGAGGGAAGAAGGGAGAAAATAATGCCAGGATTGAGGAGGTGAGGCGGAGAAGGGCCGAGTGGGGTCGCCTGGTCCCTGGAAAGCAAATATGCAAGTCAAGCGGCAATCTCCCACATCATACCCTGCAGCCAGTGCAAAGGGGGTGGACGAGAGGCCAGTGCAGCAGAGCGCACGTCGACAGATTCCTCTCCTGGACGCGAATCAAGGCCTGAGGAGGACCAGGGGGGAACTCCACAGGCGCTTCAACCCTACCTGGACTAAGGCCCACGGAGGCCCCCCTTCCAGGATGCGAACATATTGGGTCGTCTGCGCGGCCGACTGCAATGAATCAACGAACGTGATGTCCAGAGGCAGAACCTGAACCGTGGCCAGCTTCCTCGCATCAGATTTCCCCGACTGGCCAAATATCGGGAGTGACACTAGTCGAAGGGAGCAGGCAGAGGGAGTGCCAACTTAGCACACGTTCGATATAGCGATTCAACTACGCAATCGGTGTCAAACTTACAACTGACCTCTGCTAGCGTACTTCTCGGTGGTGGTAAGAACCAGGAACCGCGCCGCAGCCAGAGCAAATGACAACCGAAATGGCCTAACAATTCATGTCGCTATCTGGCTTCTTGAATGGGATGCACGACATCTGGCCCTCAAAAATCCCTGCGCACTGCCCCGTGCCTTTGCGTGGCCAGGCTCGGCCTAAAAATAAGAATCAAACCAAGTCTCAGTGAACCCTACACGAGAGGGGCTACGAAAGATAAACACACCCATACATATCAAAATTACGATCGGGAACCGAAGGAAAAACTCAACATATGTAAACAAACAACTGATTCGGGAACTGTTTCGGAAGCGATGAACAGGATTGGAGCACCCGCTGGCCATGGGGCTCCCGCGCGAATTCCAGCACGTGAATCTTTCCCAGCGACTCTGCAGACTCGCTGGCCATCAAAAGCCCACAAAGCATCGCACCCTGATGGCACCCACACACACACACTCATACACGCACGAACGTACATACATACATACATACATACATACATACATACATACATACATGCATACATGCATACATGCATACATGCATACATGCATATATGCATACATGCATACATGCATACATGCATGCATGCATACATACAATCATACCTTCCATACAAACATGCATACATACATACATACATGCATACATGCATACATGCATACATGCATACATGCATACATACACACATACATACATACATACATACATACATACATGCATACATGCATACATGCATACATGCATACCTACATACATGCATACATGCATGCATGCATACATACAATCATACCTTACATGCATACATACATACATACATACATACATACATACATACATACATACATACATACATACATACATACATAAATACATACATGCATGCATGCATGCATGCATGCATACATAAATACATATACACATACATACATACACACATACATACGCGCATACACACATACATCCCACC